CTTACTGTTTGTGTGCCTTAGTTTTTCATCTGTAAAATGAGAATAATCAGAGTTAAACTCATAAAGGTTTTGTGAACATTACATGAGCTGATACGTAAAGTAGTTAGGATAGTGCCTGACACACAGTGCTGTGTGTGTTAGCTATTTTTGCCCATAGAGGTTTGTAGTGGTTTGGAAACAAGGTGTATTTGATTGCCTGCCCAGCGTCCTGGAATAGAGGACTTGGGATAGACTAGGAGATTGAGCCAGTGGCCAAAGTTTTCAGTGCCTCTAGGTCAGCTACTAGAGGCCTGGAGATGTCAGCAGCAGGAGAGGGAGGGTGATATGGCCAGTGAGAACAGAGGAGGGGTTTGCAAGTAAGGGAGAGGAATCATGATCCAGGTGTGGCAATAATAGTAGCCATAGAAGTTACTTTTATTACTCTGGAAAGGGCAATGGGGAACAAGAAGAATGCTAGCTCTTTCTCCTTCACTTTGTAACCATGTGTTCATTCGTTCAGCACATATCTACTAAATGCTATTGAGTGGGCCAGCTATGGTGCTGGCCATTGGGGATGTGGCAATAAATACAACAGACCCAGTTTCTTGCCTTTGTGGGGCCTGCTCATTAAGGTGAGAGAAACAGTTGCTAAACAAATAATTTTGTAAGTCATCGATCAATACGTATTGGATTGTGCCACTCCCCAGCTTTGGCATCTTCAGGTGCTCTCTACTGAATGGAATAAAATCCTAACTCCTAAGCATGGCATACAGGCCCTGCAGGATCCAGTCCTACCCTTGGCAGCTCTTCCTTCACCTAGGGTTCTAGCCCCCCAGGACTCCTTGCTGTGCCCCAAACTGACTGTGACATCTCCACAGCCCCCTGCCCCTGCTAATGCCCTCTCTGTCCATCTGGCGTGCTCCCAAGGCCACTGCAGCAAACGTGTGTTCCTTTGGGAACCCTTTCCCAATCACCATCACTCTCTCAGCCATGTTCCCAGAGCACCTTGGATTTTCCAGAATTATAGCACTTCATGGATTGAATCAGAAGGGGCAGTATAGCACCAGCGGGGAGGAAGTCATGACAAAACCCTGAGTTGGGAGTGAGCATGGAGCGTAGGCACTGCGAGGAGAGTGCATGAGGGGAGTGGGAGATGCCTACCGATAGGAAGAGTACCTTGGGGCTTGGTGGGGCTGCCTGGAGTGCCTGACTAGAGCACAGAGGGACCATCTCCTTTCCTTGAAGAATGTTACAGAAAGCTTGGGCACTGGAAGTGGGCAGCCTGTCCAGGGTTTCAGTATTCTGAAGGTTTCTTCATGAAGATGCATATCTGGGAAAGAGTCATTCTTGTCTGAGTTGGTGAGGCCAAGGGTGCCAGCAAAATGGAGTTATAAATCCCATCAGGGGGAGGAGGAACAGTTTAGAGGCCCAGCAAAAGCTATTTGCACCTCCTGCAATTGGGAATGCATCATCTCTGTTCTTGGGGGCTGACCTTGACATCCTTGTGGCCACCAGGGAATGTGACCTCCCTGGTTACCTTCTCTGTCTTTGAGATAAATCCCAAAGCCCTTTGTTGGTGTCTTGGTGATGGCACATGGGGGCAACCCTCTGGGCAGGGGGAGTGGAGTTTGTTCTCAGACAGCTGCACAGAGGTAAGGGAACCTCCATGGGGCAGGGTCTCAGAAATCCAGCTGCCCAAGCTCAGAGATGCAAAGGCAAGTTCAAACAATAGCGATTGATCCCCGTCCAGAGGCTGCCTCAGCCTGAGCCTCATGGGCAGAGTCATCCCCAGTGAGTTTGGGCTGGGCCCCACTGAGACCCAGACATGGCCTCTTCACCATAAAGGCCTGTATAGGTGAAGAGCCACCCTAGCAGGAGGCAGGGACACTAGGCTGAGAAAAGTGGTGAGACTATTTGGAGCAGCCTGTGTTAGACCAGAATCAGAAGCCAAGCCAGCATCAGTGGAGTCTGGGAGGGCTGGCAGATGTCAGCAAGGGACTGAGGCACTGGCAGCTTCTGCTCCAGGCTGAGTTGCAACTCAGCCTGGGATCCCCACTGGTGCAGGCAGTTAATCTCCGAGGGCCAGAATCGCCACTACTAGAGAGCAGGAACACTGAACTTTTCAATCACATTAATTTCCACAGGAAATTGTTGTCTTCCTTTTGTCCAAAGGTTAGTGATTTATATTTACCATCCTCTTAACTAGCTTTGAAATTTACTGTTGCCAGGTCACCACTGGCATCCATAAATTTCAGGGTGGCAGCTGAGCATAGCCAAGTGGCTTGGTCCTTGGAAGGGTACATGTGGCCCTTCTGGGAGGGCAGATAACTAGCTGCAGGCAGTCCTTGTACCAAAGTCCCCCTGAGGGGGTGGGCATTCACTTTGCTGGGGAAATGAAATGAGGTCTGTTTGACAAGGTTGCAGGGAAGCCTCTTCAACAGCCGCCATGGTGGTGGCAGCTGGCTTGTGCCTCTTAGCAGATCACCCAAGGGGACATGCTTCCAGCTGTAGATGGGGCAGCAGGCAGAAGGTGCTTGAGTAGTTTAGGGTGGGGAACAAGGACCAGAGTCCCAGCTCTGTACTTCCTAACTGTGTAACCTTAAGCAAGTAACTTAACCTCACTCTGCCTTAGTTTCCTTCTCTGTAGTACGAGTATACCTGCCTTATAATATTGTTACAAGGGTTAAACCTCAGTACATATAGACTGTTATTATTCTCTGGCAGGACTGTGTGAGTGTTTTAACATGGGCCAGAGACAGTCAGCCTCACATCCCTGCTTGCACAGTCTTACACATTTCCATCTAAGACCCTCTTCTTCCATCGGCTCATGGAATTAGAACAGGGGCTAGCTAGGTTTTTCTGTAAAGAGCCAGTAAATATTTTAGGCGTTGTGAGCCCCATGGTCTTGTTGTAACTACTCCTTTCTGCTGTCTTAGTGTGAAACTAGTGATAGGCATTAAGTAAATAATGAGTGTGGCAATGTTCTCATAAATCTTTACTTGTGAACACTCAAATCTGGATTTCATATAATTTTCGTGTGTCACAAAATATTATTCTATTGATTTTTTTAACCATTTAAAAATGTAAAACCATTTTAAGGCTGAGCATGGTGGCTCATCACCTTGTCTCTTAAAACACACATATGCGGGGGGCCAGCCCCTACAGAGAGATTTAGGGGATCCCTGGGAGGTGTGGCGGCGTCGGCAATTATTCTGGAGAAATAAAGAGAAAGAAGCGGGGGGGGGGGGCGGAGAAAGAGACTGGACTCTGTCTGTCTAGTACAGAAGCCATTTAATGGGACAAACCGTAATCCTTTTATCCCAAATTTTCACAGGTTAAATCACAAGACTTTCACGCGAACACAAAGCCAGGTGGATGAGGGGCGTCCCCCAACTACCAGGTGTTTCCTCAGGCATGAGGAAGGACAATCCCAATTAAATCACAAGACATTTACATGAACACAAAGCCAGGTGGATGAGGGGGACGATCCCAAAATTATCTCACTGTTCCTCATGCTTGGTTAATATTCCTCAAAAGCAATACTACAATTCTAACATCATAATCTAATAATCAATAACTTTTAAAACTTAGGCATACGCAATACCTAATGACTAACTTAAATCCTAATTCCTTTCTATTTTACGCTAATTCTACCTACACTATAGAAACTCTTAATTATAGCCCAAATCAGTTCCTAAAGAATGTGGCCCAGTCAAAAGATCAAGCTGGGCTGTTTCTAGGAACAATTGATTACAATCTCTTAACAAAATGGCTGTTCTAAAATCCTATATATCTATTTTTACTTCTATAAAAGTTTATAATTCCTAATTCTAATATGTAAAGCTGATCATCAGCAATAAAGCTTCTAAAAATAAAACCCAAATATAAACTGTAAGTTGTACTAAGGCCAAAACCACAATAGTAGAAAATGGGAACAATGAAATTTCTAAAGTTAGCTGTATTCTTATTAAACATCAAAATATCATGTTTGATCATGCTTGAACTAACATAATTCACTGATGTAGCATAACCTATTCTACAATACTTTCTATGAATAAAATAATTTCAATTTCTATAATAAGCAGAAAAACCCTACACTAACTGTAGCTAAAACCAGTTTAAAAGAATGCAGCCCAGTCCAAAGTAGCACTGGGCTCTTAGGAATGTGGCCCAGTCCAAAGTTCGTGCTGGGCCGTTTCTAGTAACTCTAGATAATCATCTATACCATCTAAAGCTGAAAACAGCTCTCCATATGTATATACTAATTCTACAAATATACTTTTAAATCTTGTAAAGAAGCTTGTACCATATTAAAGGCTCCCAAATGTGACCTGAGTTTGAACTGTGTTAAGTTTAAAGCCAAAACCGCAGTCTGTAAGAAATAAGAACAATGGACTCCTAAAGTAAGCCATGCCTGTCGTACTCTCAGAGCTTCATGTTTAGATCATCAAAGTTCCTTCTAATGAGATGTGCTAAATAGCAAAAAAGGAGGAGGGAATGGGCCAACAGCTCCTAAACACATCCTAGTGGTCTCAGGGTCCACAGTCCACCTTGCTTCCTAACGTTCAGGTGGGCCTCCATGGATGGCACACACACACACACACACACACACACACACACACACACACACATTTTAGCTTATAGGTCCTACAAAAATAGCACTGGACCTGATTTGGTCCCTGGGTTGCAGTTTGCTGACCCCTGGATCAGAAGGTGAAATGGCATTTAGAAAGTATTCACTTTTCTCACTTGGGCTGGCTTTGAGTTACTAAAGAAAGGTGTCCTTAGGTGGGTTTGTTCACTGATCTCACAGCACCTCCTGAGAATCCTGCAGAAAGGCAGCTGGAGCAGAACAGGGTGGAAGCCCTGTGGGAGCCTAGGGCACAGGGACAGGCAGGATGCCTGGACCTGGCACCTGTTGGTTCCCTGCCTGCAGCCAGAGTGGTGCTGGCCCTGGATTGGTCAGTCACCCTCACCCTCCACTCCAAATCTGGTGTTGACAGTCCACATCTGTTTTTCAGAGAACGGCCCCAGCCAAGATGGGAAAGAGGTGGAAACTCGACAGCCGGTAGTGATCCTCTTGGGCTGGGGTGGCTGCAGGGACAAGAACCTTGCCAAGTACAGTGCCATCTACCATAAAAGGGTGAGTACTGCAGACATGTGGACACCTGGGTTGCTTGGGCCCTGTCTTCTGTAGCTGCTTTGTGGGAGCTCTGTCTGGCTGCCCTTACTTCTGAGCTGCAGTGAAGGCTGACCACCTATGTGGCAGGCCTAGGAATGGCATTAAAAACAGCCTGTGAGGAAGACGATGGGGTCAAGAGGACTTTTGACAGGATTATTGCCCCTTTGCTGCCAGCTCTGTGGCCTGGTCTGGCCTCTTCAGTCTCCTGACCTACTTCCCCTTCTTTCTTCCCTGAATCTCATAGTGGACAGCCCAGCCTTGATGTGCACCCCTAGTTGCATAGTCAACCCAGGCTCAAGTCCCTTCTGGGCAGCAGGATCCTGGACAGGGTGTGCTGGGCATAGTTTTTACTCCCAGGACTCTCTCCTTTTCTGACTAGGTATGTCTCTGTCTTAGGACGACCATGGCACCTTTCACATTCCCTGATAGTAGAGCCTCTTGAAAGAGAGATTCATGCTTCTTCTTAGGCTGTACCAAACATTCGATGTAGAGGCTGAGTTCATTGGAGACAGCCTTGGGAGGGCCTGGTTATATTTTGAAAGCCACTGTCACATTTTTTTTTTGAGTTGGAGTCTCACTCTGTCACCCAGACCGGAGTGCAGTGGCATGCTCCCGGCCACCGCAGCCTCGACCTGCTGGGCTCCAGCGATCCTTCTGCCTCAGCCTTTCAAGTAACTGGAACTATAGGCATGCGCTACCACACCTGGCTATTTTTTGATTTATTGTAGAGATGAGGTCTCGCCAAGTTGCCCAGGTGGGTCTCAAACCCACGGGCTCAGGCAATCCACTCACCTCAGCCTCCCAAAGTGCTGGGATTACAGGCTGAGCCACTGAGCCCAGCTTGCTGTCACATTTTTAAAAAAAACTTTTTAAATTTTATTTTAAAGATGTGGGGTACAATTCAGGATTAGGTATATAAATGGTCATCGTACAGGTAAAGTATGGGCCTCTCTTTTGTCCCCACTTTGCCTGGTTTGAGATCAGGTACCCCTATTGATGTCATGTCCCCCTCCCCCACCCCGGCAGTATCCCGCTACTGCCAATCCCTTTCTTTTTTTTGTTTTTTTTGAGTTGGACTCTCACTCTGTCACCCAGGCTGGAGTGCACTGCAGCCTTGACCTGCTGGACTCAGGCAATCTTTCTACCTCAGCCTTCCAAGTAACTGGAACTACAGGCACGAGCTACCATGCCTGGCTAATTTTTTGATTTATTGTAGAGATGAGGTCTCCTCAAGTTGCCCAGGCTGGTCTTGAACCCGTGGGCTCAGGCAATCCTCTCACCTCTGCCTCCCAAAGTGCTGGGATTATAGGTGTGAGCCACCATGCCCAGTCTGCCAGTCCCCAGTATTATGGTAAATGTTCAGGGTCTGCCTATGAGTGAGAACATGTGATACTCTGTTCTTTGTTTCTGTGATAGACCACTGAGTATGATAGACTCTAAATCCATCCAGGTTGTTGTGAAGCCCATATGTTTGTCCTTCTTGATGGCTATGTAATATTCCATTGTGTATATGTACCACATCTTTGGCTGGCTCCTCCCTGCCCTCCAGAGCAGCCCTCTGCAGGGGAGGCAGTACAGACAGCTCCAGCTGCCAGCTGGAAGCCTGGAACTGAGGAGTAGGAGGCACCACCTGGGTGAAAGGCCAGCTGAGTCTCCTTCCCTCAGAGGTCCCTCTACTGACCCACATCTGTACCCTGTCCAAGGTGTGTGGTGGCCTGGGAAAGGGAGAGAGGCTAGGGAGAAAATGCAGTTCTCAGCTTGAAGCCTCCCCCCCAACCACCACAGCTGGTGCTCTGGTGCTGCCTTTTACAGACGGTCTCACTCTGCAAGCAGTTTCGGCTACTTCTGAATTCTACTCACTAGCCTAGGCTTGTTTGCCTGGCTTTTTTGTTAGACTAAGATGCTTGAGGGCAGGCAGAGGAATAGGAATAGTTGAGTGTGGCTAGAACAGAGAATGAAAGAGAGGGCAAGTGTTAAAGGGGAGGCTTGGAGGGAGTTCTCGTGGGATTTAAGTAGGAGTCTGGTGTTAGATTTGTGGGTCAGAGAGTCTGAACTCCTGGACTCAAGCAATCCTCTTGCCTCGGCCTCCCAAAGTGCTGGGATTGCAGATATAAGCCACTGCGCCCAGCCTCTATGGAAGGATCGCCTGAGCCCAGGAGGTTGAAGCTGTGGTGAGCCGTGATCGTGCCACTGAACTCTAGATTAGGGACAGAGTGAGAACTTCAATTCAGGGGAAAAAAAGAAAAAGAAAGAAAGTCTGGTACTGCACAGTGGTGAGGGATTGGAGGGGCTGGGACTGGAAGCCGGAAGTGAGTTTGGAGGGGGTTGCAGCAATCCAGAATAGAAGGTGGTCAGGACCTTGGGGCTGGGGTGCAAGTAGAGGGAAGATGATGGATTGAGGAGCTTGTCAGGAGGTAGATGGCAGTTTAATGAGAGATCTGGTATGGGCACAGGGGCAGGAAGGGGTCCAGGGTAATGCCAGGTTTCTGGCTATGGCATTTCTTAGATAGAGAGGGGCATGTTTTTTGAGACAAGAATACTAGAAGAGAATCATCAGGCGGTGGAGTAGATGAGATCCTCCCGGGAGTGTGTCGAGGGACAAAAGGGGCCTAGGACAGAGTCCTGGGGAAGCCAAACTTAAAGCAGTAGAAGATTAAGAGGGTCCTATGAAGAAAGGAAGAGTGGTCAAAGATGGAAAGAAAATCCAGGAGGGCGTGACAGAATCCAAGAAAGAGTCTTTGGGAAATGGGCCATTGTACAAGGAGAGAGTAAAGATGTTATCTGGCAGAAGGCACAAGGGAGAAAAGAAGAAGTAACATGCCAGGGAAGAGAGAGGGGCTGAGGTTGCAGGTTGCTGGAGGCGTATTCTTGAAAAGACTTTGCTCCCTCTACCCCCTGGTAGGGAAGACAGGATGAGCGTAGAGAAAAAGATTTATTTCCAATTCAGAACGCCAGTATTTTATTATTTAAAAGAAAATCACACCATTTTTATCACCTAGAAATGACCTCTATTTACACCTTAGTGTGTACCCTTCCAGCTTGTTTTCTGTATCTTCTATACCTAAATGGGATCAATTGAATATACAGTTTTGTATCCTACATTTTTCAGATCATGATCGCTACCTTTTTGGGTTAATAAAATTCCATCTCATCTAGTTTCCAGTCTATATTCAGATTCACTAATTGTCCCCAAAGTGTCCTTTACAGCTGATGTGCCCAAACCAGGATCCAATCTAGGATTGCAAATTGCATCTGGTTACTTTGTTCCTTAATCCTCTTTTAAAATCTAGAATGTCCCTTTTGTCATGATATTGACTTATTAAAAAGACTGAGCTTATTAAAAGACTGAGAAAAAGATAATATTTCTAAGAGTGTGTGATCCCAAATGCTGCCAGGAGAAAATTATGATGGAGACTGAAAGACCTCCATTGGATTTGACCATTTGATAGAATGTGGGTGGCCTTAAGTGACCTCCCTCATCAGAGTCTCAGCAGGGCCGCTTAGGTGATGGCAGAGCACCCCAGCTGACCATCCCTGTTTGGTTATGGGTCAATCAAGTACTGTGCCCACCTAATTTTCTCCTTGTCACTACTATCACCACTAATTACTGCTGCTGTTAGTTGAGAGGTTACTTTGTGCCAGATGCTGTTTGGTCACTTTGATACTTTTTCACCATAACCTTCTGTGTTGGGTGTTATTCCAATTTATAGATGGGAACCCAGAGTCAGAAAGAAGTAAACCACTCTTTGTCTATACTATTAATAAGTGGTGGTACCAGGAATTGAACCTAGACCTGTCTGACCCCAAAGCCTGCCCAACTCAGATTCCCCTGGCAAAGGATCCTTTGTCTCTGGAACAAAAAGATGAGAAGTGTTAGGACTTAGGCAGGGTGGCTTTTCTAACTGGCTTAGGAGGGGACTTGTTTGAAGATTTGGGAGCATACTTGGCCCAGGTAGTGAAGGGTACAGAAGCCAAGAGGAAGTTTGGGCCCAGATTTTAGAATTTGAGGAATAAGTGTGTTTATTATATTTGGAATTTCAGGGCAAATGAGAGGAGTGATCCCAGGCCTGGGAACCAGACACATTTGAGTGTCAGGTCCCTGAATTCAGAGAGTATGACTTTGCTCTCAGGGCCCTGAGGGGGAAGGTGACAGTGACCTGAGATGGAAGTGATGTGAGCTTGGCTCAGAAGTGGCCTCTGGTGGTCAAGGCTGGGGCCTGCAGGCTATCTCTTGGGGTTGGTCTCATGGGGGTACCAACTTGTGCCTGGGTAGTAGGAGCAGTGCAGAGCAGAGTTGCTGGGAACAGGGTATAGCCAAGCAGTGAGGCCTTACATGAACAAGGTATGGGGTGGGAGGGTGGGAATAGACAGATAGGGAGGGAACCAGAGTAGAAACTTCCTTCTAGTCAGCCCAGATGTCTCCAAAACATGCTGCAGGCTCCAGGCCTCAGACACCATCCCAGTGTAAGAGGGCTTGACCAGAGTAAAGCAGTTTGTCCAAACATGGGCCTCGAGTGTGCCTTCCACTCCCACTATGTCTGTGAGTAGTATCCAGTCCGAAGCAGGGCCTAGGGCTTTGCTGGACTCTGTGGGCCCTATAGAAGTTGGGGTTGCTGGGTTTCTCTGACCTTAGCCTGTTCCCACTACCTCCACCTCACCCGTGAGGACTGACCAGGCCTCTCTCCTCTCTCCAGGGCTGCATTGTAATCCGGTACACGGCCCCGTGGCACATGGTCTTCTTCTCCGAGTCCCTGGGCATCCCTTCACTTCGTGTTTTGGCTCAGAAGCTGCTTGAGCTGCTCTTTGATTATGAGATTGAGAAGGAGCCCCTGCTCTTCCACGTCTTCAGCAATGCTGGTGTCATGGTGTACCGCTATGTGCTGGAGCTCCTGCAAACCCATCGGCGCTTTTGCCACCTGCGTGTGGTGGGCACCGTCTTTGACAGCGGTCCTGGAGATAGCAACCTAGTAGGGGCTCTGCGGGCCCTGGCAGTCATCCTAGAGCATCGACCTGCTGTGCTGCGCTTGTTGCTCCTGGTGGCTTTTGCCCTGGTGGCAGTCCTGTTCCACATCCTGCTTGCTCCACTCACAGCCCTGTTCCACACCCACTTCTATGACAGGCTGCAGGATGCAGGCTCTCGCTGGCCTGAGCTCTACCTCTACTCAAAAGCCGACGAGGTCGTCCTAGCCAGAGATGTGGAACGCATGGTGGAGGCACGCCTGGCACACCAGGTCCTGGTGCGCTCTGTGGACTTTGTGTCATCTGCACATGTCAGCCACCTCCGTGACTACCCTACTTACTACACAAGCCTCTGTGTCAACTTCATGCGCAACTGTGTGCAGTGCTAAGGTCCTTTCTCCAGCTCACCTGACACCTCCCCACAACCTAAATCTGTAGGGCTCTCCTCTGGTTCAACTCCTATAGTCCTTTGGGACTTTGTGACCCTCTAAATAGAAAATTCCTGTGTGACTCTTTTTGGAGGGACTGCTGGTGGTCTGCTTACCCCAGGATCCTAAGGGGCGGGATTGCCTGGGCAGTGTCTCTGGAGGAGACTTGCAGTAGGTTGTGTTTGGATAAGCGCAACAGTCAGGCTGCTGATTCCTGTGGCATTTAGGCTGTAAAGATTAACAAAGAGCGGGGAAGGGTTTGTGGATGAACCCAGAGTTGATTTTTTTTTAATTGGGGTAACAACACTAAACATGAGATCTACTCTCTTAACAAAATTTTAAGTGTATAATACACTTAACCATAGGCACAGTGTTGCACAGCAGATCTGTAGAACTGAATCATCATGCATTGTGCATCATCTAGAACTCAGTTATCTTGCATTACCGGAGTTGAGTTTTGATTCCTCGAATGGAAGGTAAGCTTTATGGGGTGATGCCAGAGGGTGCCTCTGGGTCTGGGGGTAAGGCCTGACTGGGGATGGGGACTGTGATCCCTGCTCCGGAAGGGCAGAACCCCACAGTGTAAAGCACTATCCCCGTGGATTCTGCTCATTCAGGCCTCTCTGACCTCATTGCCCATAAGTCTGAGGTAGAAGTCAGGTGAACCACTGAGGATATGGGCTTAGGGGCCTGCCTGGCTCTACCACACTGCTAGGAAGCCAGTGGATCCAAGAGAGTCGCAAACTTAAAGCTGCAAGATGGAGTGGAGAAAGGTAGGCCGCAGTGCTCTAACAGGACCTGGAACAAGCTGACTGTGGGCCCTAAAGACCAGAACCAGGGTAAGGGAATTTTGGGCTGAACAACCAACTCCTTTATCTCCTTGGAGGGAGGGAGACCCGTTGGATACTCTACAGGCAGGAGAGGTGGCTCTAGCCTTACAGTTCTGTACCATCTATCATTCTTTAAGTCACTGCTGCACGATGCTGGCTCATAGTTAGTATTCAATAAATATTTGTTGATTGAATGAACTTACTGTGGTAGTCAAGGGGCTTGGGGGGCAGGCATGGACTTTGAAAGTTTGGGCTGTGAAGGAGATGGCTAGGAAAGCTCTGGGTGGAAGCTGACCCCTGATGTTCTCAGAGATGATGGACTTTGTGTCCCCAGGGTCTGTCTGCACCCCATCAGCCCTCTGGGAGTCCCCACTATCGTGGTAGAGATTCCTGTGCTGTGTGGCTGCATTCCCAGCCATGGCCAACAGGTGGCAGTGCCGCATGTGCCATGAGACAAATCAAGGCTTCCACGGCAGGGCAGTGGCGGTGGAATGCCCTCACTCTGGGTTAATGCGCCCTATTAGAGAGCATATGGTCGCCAGGGTGGGGGTAACCAGCCATTAAGGACCCACTGAGTCCAAGGCAGGAGAGGGGAGTAGAGACATAAAAGAAGCCAGGCTGCCAGGAACTGGGCATTTAAGAGCCTCCTCTTCACCTCTCCGTGGCCCCCATCTCCTACCCACTCATCCAAACTTGCTTGTCCCAAACCCTCTGCCATCACTGGGGTTGTTCCTACTCGCCTCGACAGAGGACACATACATGGAATCCAGGATGCTTGTGTTCAGGATATTTGGTGTCATCAAGCTGGGAATGGAGTTGTGAAGGGGCTTCACTGGGCCCCAACCAAGAGTGCCTTGTCTTCTGTGCTTCTTTTGGGTGTAAGGGGTGGTAGTCACTGTGGGCATCCCAGAGAAAAGGGGTATCTGAGGCTGGGGATTTAGGAAGGTAGGTCTGGTGTGTGACAAAGTGTAAAGTCTGGGGTCACGGAGTTACTCTGAGGTTTTGAAAGTTCCTCAATACAGCTTTCTGTTGTGGATGAGGACTCATCTATAGCTTTGGGAGGTGTCCAGGATGCTGATCTATCTCCCTGGCAGCGGGGAGCTGTGGGATGATCAACAGACAAAGCTCTATAACCCTAGTGCTAGTGGCCCATCCTCAGTTCTCCGACCCAAAGGTCCATCTTGGACAATAGAGGTTTCTATTCTTTCTGAGGATCTAGGCAGTAACTACACTGGGACCCAAGGTTAATCACTACATTGAAGGAACAAAAGCCTGGGAGGCCGAGATCCCACTGTGGTCTCTTATGTTTTAGGGGACCATAAAGGGATAGAGGCTTGGGGCTTGTCTTCAACCAAGCTTGTAGCTGCTCTAGGTTGGGGGATAGAGCTTGCATCCCCTCTGTACCCCCAAGCTCTGACCTCTCCTGTGATTAATGAGCTGACGATTCTGCATCGATAAGGAATTAACCTAGAGCCCCTATCCATCAATAGTCAGGAGCCCAGATCCCCAGCCCCAGCCCCACCCCCACCAAGCCAAATGCTCCAGGGCCCAAGCAGACCAACCCTGCGTGGCTTGGCTTTGAACACCTTTAGCTAAGTCCTTTCTCCCATACTGCTGCCAGCAATTAACCCCTCAACTGCCTCCATTCACCCCCATTCCTACTCACCGCCCCCTGCAGCCATCAGCTCCCCCACCTTCCCACACACATACACACAGGCAGCAAGTGTTGATACTGGTTTAATCCATGTCAAATGTAGTTTACAAAGGGAAAGGACAAGTACCTTTGTATAGAATATACAGACACAGCATCACACCATGGGGTCCACGGGAGGAATGGGGAAGACAACACTTCTCCCCTGGGAACAGCAGCTCTAATCCCAGGGATGGTTCTCAGCAGAAGGCTGGGAAGCCAGGAGCACCTGCATCCAGCCTCCATCTCAGCCTCTGCTTCAGCTCGGTCCCCATTTCCTGCCCCCCACCCCCTCCTTATAAAGAGCCCCATGAGCTAAGACTAAGGAGAGGATCATGTCCCTCGGGGCATGTGCCCCATGTCTGGGAGAAGAAATATACACCACTGAACACCGAGCACATGGGAGAGAGAAGGGACACCACGGGAGAGGGAGAGGCAGGCCTCCCAAGAGGTGGATGGGCCGAGCCCCCAGCCAGCCCTCAAGGAGGCACTGCTTCTAGGGCTTCTTAAAAAAAGAAAATCATACAACCAAAGGGGGGGATAGGTGGAGGGCAAGGAATCGTCCCATTTATACACAACATTGTAAACATACACGGTCTATATTACATGTGCTTCAGTCTGGTGTCTGCATGTTGTCGGTCCGTCTGTCAGTCTGGGGCTGGATCTCAGGAGCCTTGCCCGCTACTCCCCCCACCCCCACCTCCCTGCCCCACCCTGGGAACAGAGGCTGGAACAGGCATGGCCCCCAAACCATGGGGAAGAGCCAGCAGGTAGTGCCTGGGCCTCAGCCTCCACTCTGGCTCCAGAGTTGTGTGTGTGTGTATGTGTGTGTGCGCGTGTGTGTGTGAGTATGTGCATGTATGTACACTGGGAACCTGTGTGCAAGTATGTACAAGGGGAGAGGGTCACTGTCACAGAGGCTGGGGGCAGGTGGGGCTGCTCGAGGCAAGGCCTGCCTGGGATAGCTAGCTCACAAGTAGATCCTCCGCAGGTCTCCGGGGGCTGTGATCGTGTTGCACTGAGGGCAGAGCTTCTTGGCCCCCTGCAGGGAAAACAGGGAGGGCTTTGGTTATTCACAATGTGCCATGTTTGTGCATGCGAACACCTGGGCCCGCAGACGTGGCTGTGCCGGTGTGTGCTGGGACCTTGGTCCTGTCAGCCCAGGCTGGGGGTCCATGGGCGGCCTCTCTGAGCAGGCAGGCATGCTCCTGTGTTGGGGGGATGCCAGGATCAAACCGCCTGGCCAGCCCCGCAGCGGGAGCCCCAGTAATGAGAACAAGGCTGGGTCCAGCTGTGGCTGCCGCGGCCCTAACGAGATTACATGCGGCCTTTGATCAGGACACAGAGCCCACGTCCGAGCCTTTTATTGCTGTCTCCGGGCGACATTTTAATGGCTGCTCCTGAGTGAAGAACAGGGGCAGGAGCAGAAGGAGCTTAGTAATGGGAGGGGGAGGGCATCCTGCTTCCCCACAACCAGCCTACTCCTGGTCTGGGGTCTCACCAGTATGTGTGATGCAGTGGGCTTTCTGGAGGTGAGGGCAGGGGGTACGGGGAGGGGAGAACACAGTGAACCCGTGGAGGGGGAGAATTTAATAAAAGTACAGTGGGGAGGAGAGGATGTAGTGAACTCGGGAGGTGAACATCCTGGCTTCTGGCTCTGTTCTATGGTCCTGCTCTTCCTTGGTTCCCACTCCCCCAAGCAGGCTCAAGCACAAGCATGGACAAACAGTCACCCTCTCCCGGATCCCTATGCTCTCTCACCAGGGTCCGCAGCCAGCACTCCTCGCAGTGCACGTGCCAACACTGGATAGACGTTAGGGGCATCGAGTACGAGTCCTAGGGGGGAGGAGAACAGAGAAGGGGTCACTTTGAGGTAGCCCCCCCCAAAGAGCCCAGATCACAGTGCAGAGATCCTCTTCGATCCCTGGCCAAAGGTACTCCTAGTTTCCTTTCTACTCACCATGCAGATGAGACATTTGTAACGGTCCCCACGAGATAGCTGCCGTTCAAGCTCCCTGACCCGCGCCTTCAGGGCCTCAAACGTGGTCACAGCAGAATCTTCAGTGATTCTGTAAGAGAACGGCACAGTTGGGCAGCAGGCTGGCACCCCCAATCTGACCCTCCAGCCCATACCTCCCTTGAATTCCAGAACCACATATACAAACATCCTCTAGACATACATCCCTGCCTGCCCCCTTTCCTGATACTCCATGTCTACAAACTCCACATTCTAGAACTAAGTTTTTCAGCCTCTGTGTTCCTCTACCTCCAACCTGATGAATTTCTAAATCAGATACCTGGGAACCACTCTTAGCCACTCCTCTCAGTCACCTTCAACATCCAAAATCTGTCATTTCTCTCCTACTAGCTCCGAAATCTCTCCAATTCTTTCCACCCTTACCACCACTAACCCAGGCTCTCAGGATTTCTTCTATGGATTACTCCACAAGTCTTCTAAATAGGCTCTCTGCTTCTAAGCCCCTCATCTCCATTCCATTCTCCCAGTACCTAGAAGAATTTACATTCTAAAAGCAAGTCTAATAATGTTTACTTCTGACATTTCCATGTCTCCTTTAGAGTAAAGCTCTACCACAGATGTCCTTGGGTTAACCCTTGCCAGCTACCCCTCAGCAACCTACCCCTATTTTATGCTCCATCCACATGAAACTCCTAAGTGTCGCCACACATGGCACCTCTTTCACTCCCTTGGCCCCTGCACTGTTTCTTCTGGATCCCCTCGCCTCCCAACTCACTAGCTCTGCTTCATCATTCATACCCGGTTATCACCTCCTCCCAGAACCCCTTTCTAGCCCTCTCGGCCAGCACCACCACTGGTAGCTTGCGGTTCCCTGTGCTGAACTTTGCCACAGCAGTATAAAGTTCCGAGTATGAGCTCCCCAAGGGGAGGCTGCTCACTCCCCCAATATTTACTGTTAGCACCACTTCAGGCATGTGAGCATGAGTTAATACCTGCTGAAGAAAGAGTCCATCCAACCCGCAGGGAAAGGGTGAGACATAGGGACTGGATGAGTCCCCATGTAATCTAGGTCTCCTTGCCACAGGCCTGGCCTCTCTCAAGGGTTCCTTGTTATTTCTTCCTAGGGACCTCTGATGCCCTGAGTCCTCAGCTTGTGGTCCATGCCCTGCATCAGAAGGTCCCTACAATGTTTCCAGGACTCTTTGGGCTGCACTGCTGAATGGGAAATAGCTAGGACTATCTCAAGGATCCCTCCTACTCCTTCTAAAACAAGTGAACAGAAGCCAGGGGAGCTCACAGAGGGAGAAGAATGCTTCCTGGCAGAGTAGGTGCTGGAGATGGGCCTTAGGGAATAATAATAATAATACAAATAAAATAGTCAAAATTTATTAAGTACTTACTAAATGCCAGGGATTGTACTGATGGACTAATAATTATTGTCTTATTTACACCTCACAAAAACCCCATGAGAAGATTCTACATGAAAAAACTAAAGCACAGAAAGATTAAGTCGCTTGCCCAAAGTTCCCACAGACTGGGAGATGGGACTACCACCTGGCAGACTGAGTCTGTCTGATCAACTGATAACTATGAGACTAGCCATTAATCTACACTGGCTATACTCAAGAGGAGATGGGTATCTGGACCAAGAGAACAGTAGAAATAAGGGCCAAGAGGCCTAAGAACCTGCTCTGGCTGGAAGGCTCACTGAAGTGGGAAAGGGGATTGTGTGCCGGAGGACCTCAAATGCCAAAACCAGTACTGAAGAGTACCACACGGGCGATGGGTAGCTGTTGAGAATGCTGACGGGGTGCACAGAAGAACTAAGGTTTCAAAGATGCACTCAGTCAGGAAGCAAAGACTGGACTGAGGTGGGGGAGCAAGTGGACTCATAAGTGAGGTGTGGTGTGGGCAAGGAACATCTGCGGAGCTGCTCTGCAGCTTAGGCAAGGCAATCAGCTCAGAAAGCTCAAAAGTTTACAGGTGGTCTGTCATTGCTGGATACAGTGGTGATGGGGGATAGGAAGGGAGGATGATGGTAGCATTCCATGGGTAACAACAAACTTCAGTCTCTGGCCTTTTTCTTTTAGGGTGCTAGAAGCAACACAGAAAGTGACTATACAGGGATGCTCTAGATCCATCACCCCATAGGTCTGTGATTCTCTCTGCCTCTCACCAAGAATGCTGAGAAAGGCTCTGACTCCATTCCTTCTGGTACTGGCTGATTCCCTGGAAGCTTCAATTTACCCTTCTGGCTCTAGAAGCTTTTATCACCCCTGCCTCCTCACAAGCACCTGAACAGCTGGTTCCTTCCCTGGCATTTTGCCCAAGGCCATATGTGCCATCCCCATCTGAATTGCTGGTAAATTCTTGACAAGGAGATAAGAATGGGTAGCTGCACTCCCTTCCTCTCCAAGGACAAGGCTGGGAATTTGCCTTGTCCTACACGGTTATTTCAAAGATGGGGAAACTAAGGCCTGCAGCTGGTGGCAGCCTACCCCAGAACTAACTCCCAAATCAGAGAATGAACTAGAGCTGGAAAGGTACAAACAGATGGGACCAGGAGAGAAAGAAGCCATTTTCCACTCCATCTCCAAGAGCTACAAGGCCACACTGAGTGCCAATAACCAACTCCAAAGCCCACCTATCCTGGATGTACTCAACACAACCTGGCCTCTTATCTTTGCTCTGGTGAAATAGCAAATCCTCCAACCCCTGACCCAGGCTGGTTGTGAGCTATTTCTGAACCCCTCCAGGGCATAGGGTGGAGAGAAACCTGGAGGAAGCAATGACATCCTGCCTTTCCCTTTCCCTGGGTTGTGAAACAGATCTAGGGTAGGAATGAGAAAGCGAGGTCATGGGACTGAAGGGCCCCAATCTCAGCAGAACCAGACCCAATGGAGATCCTTGCACACGACTGAGCCAATCCCCACTTCATCCCAGAGATCCCCGCCTACTGGTGGCTGTGCTCACACAGGTGGGATAGGAATCCTGACTTCCCCAGCCTTGGGTGGGTAGTGCCTTCATGGATGGCCACTAGCTCTGGCCCCCTACCTCCCCCTCGGGCGCCATCCCTGATTAATGATCTTGTCTTTCTGATTTATGAGCAGCCCCTCCAGACGAGGGCGGGCGCCCCCTACAACCCCGCCCGCCCCGCTCAGCTGGAGTAGGAGAGAATTATTAAATAAACATCCATACGTCATTCCACCCCCCCCACAAGCTGGTTGCGCCGAACCCGTGCGGCCCGCTCCGGCGCTGACACGGAGCAGCTGCGGTGATTCATGGGCAGCCGGGCCCTGCGCCGCGGCCCATACATCATGCCAGCAGCACTCGCGGCCCCGGCCGAGATAAACTGATCAACCACAACGGGCTGGAATGAATTTATGACAACACAAAATGGAGGGAAACAAATGGGAGGTGACCCTGGGCCACCGACCCAGCCCTGCACTGGCCTGCAATCCACTCTCCTGGCAGAAGGCAAGATGGAACACTGGTACTGGAATGAAGAGGCTGCCTTTTAACCCCAGGCAACCTAGCCTCCAGCCAGAAGGAGGGCTAGTGGATGCAGGAGTTAGGCAATGGCCAACAGTAACAGCTCCAGGCACTTTAGACTGAACAATGTCACCTCCTAGGCTAGAGCGGGCCTTGCTGGGCTTCTGGAAAGGCAGTGAGATGCCCAGCTGATATCAAATCCTTGTGGCTCCTGGGGATCCGGGCCCAAGGACTGCCCAGGTCTGGGTGAAGTGCTAATGGATCCCCCTTGCCCCTGTCAGAGAACTCAGGCCAAAAATTCCTACCAGAAGTGATGAGATCCGATGCTCCTGCCTAAAACCCACTGTGAGCGCCACCCGGGACAAGAAAAATGAAACCAATTTAGCTCCCGATTAAGAAACAGAAACTGGAGATGAATCAAGTGCGCCGGCTGGGCTGGGCGGCCATACATCACATTCCCCGGGTGGAGGCTGCCGCAGTGGGCAGGCAGGCAGGCGGACTGTTCGTCCCTCCGCCAAGGCTCCCGGGGCTGTGGCCCAGTGATCAATTCACAGAGTCACGCTTAGCACCAGCTGGGCTCTACTGCCGGCCGTGTGCCCAGGGCACAGAAGCCCTGGCAGCAGGCCTTGCTGCTAGCAAAGGGCCCCCTGCCTCCCACTGAACTGCTATCCCAGGGGACCCCCCTCCTGGCCAACCACACTCACTTCTCAATGTCACTATTCTTGCAGGTCTTCTGCATGGCTTCCTGCTTGCTGCTTTCGCCATTGCTGGTGGATGGCATCTCTGCTGGGACAGAAGGGCAACTCACACTCCAGCCAGACTGGGCAGCACAGGTGAGGGGTTGGGCTTGAGTCAGTCACTACCATCCAGGGATACCCCCTCTCCTCCATTACTCCTAACATGGGTCAGTACTTACCGTCACTGGCCCATTTAGAAAACTCGGGTGTGATACGTGTGCTGGGAGGGCCGCCACTGGAGGAAAGGAAAGAGAAAGAACAAAATGAGGCCTGAAGGCAGTCAGGACAGCCCTGAGGTCTGTACTGGATTGACCCTTGCCTCTGGGCTTTGTATCCTCTATTCCACCCTCCCAAACCTGTGCCCACACTTGCTTTAGAACTGCGCCCCGGAGTGCCTCTCTTTCCTTGGCTTCACCAGGCTCCTCGCCAGTGCAGGGGATGACGTCAGCTTCCGTGTATCTGGTGTGGTGGTCAAGGACAATGGATCCTAGTTTGCAGTAGGCCATGAAGGTTGACTTGTCAGGAGGGCTCTCCTGGCCAAAGGTGAGACTCTGGCTCAGGTGGGTAGTGTGGGCAAGTAACAGAGGTGCTAGCTACTTTTCTTACTCCCTGTGGCCTGCCCCACTAGCCCCAACTTGCCCCACAGTGCCCCAAGGATACTGTGGCTTCCCATACTCCAGAGTGTCATCCCCATCCACATCCAAGTCAGCATCACTGTCCGGGTTCTCTTTGCCGCTGCACATGACGAAGCCAGATCCTGTGGGAAGGAGGGTGTGAGAATGGCCAGGGGCCAACAAGACTACGGCCAGGAGTGTCCCTCCTGCTGCCTTGAGGTAGGGGTCAGGTTTTGGGGCCAGATAAGGTCTAGAGAGAAACCTGGGCCTGGGATATGTAGAGCCAAATACTTCAGTGCCCCTGACTCTGCTTTCACCTTTGCAAACGTCATCCTTCTCTTCCACTGCATGCTGCTCCAAGTGGTCTCTGCTCATAGACTAGCCCATTCACACACAGAAGACACCCAGACCCAGGCTTGCTATCCACCTGTCTTCCAGGTCTAGGAAGAACAGGAAGAGGGCAGAAATATTCAGGTCTAGGAATTTCACAGGGGAGGACTTGGCCCTCCTTTATGTCCCATAATCCAGCCTGACAAGTCCATCAGAGGGGAGAACAGGCTGGCTAAGGTCAATCAGAGCCATAGAGTGGGACCCCCAGCCAACATGCCAATTTTGGCCGCTAGGTCCTTGCCAGCAAAAACACCAGGCAGCTGTTCAAATATTTGGTGTCTGAAGCGCCTGACATTAATTATTCATCCCAACCTCACTCAGCCTGGATTCCTGGACAAGTGCAGTTATAAAGGGATTAAGAAGGGACAGACGAGGTAGGAAAGGCATGCACACCTGCTTCTCAAAGCAGTCCATGAAGAAGGGCCAGAGAGGCGGCTGACACTTTTGAGGTGCATCTGGCACAGTCAATGGGCAGACTCTTGGCTAGTGGGGAGTGGAGAGGTGAGTTGCTGAGGCTACACCAGGACTGCTCACCTGCCGGATGATCTTTCTGACTTCCAGGACTAGTGTTCCTGATTACCAAGGGTCAGGGTCCACATAGCTGGTCCTCCCAGTCACCCACCTCCTCCTAGTGGGTCTCAGGCCACACCCCACTAGCCTGCACAGCAGCCTTGCCAGGGACAAAAGAAAACGATGGACTCCGGTGAATGGGATCAGCAAGGAAATCCTTCAAGAAGTGAAGAAGACTCTCAGAGTTGTCTGATGCTTTCAGAATTATTCTTTCTACTCTGATGTTTATTATACTTCACTCTGGCCTTATACTTCCACTCTAGTCCTTATACTGTTTCCACTCTGGTCCTTATATTCTGGGTACGTCTTGAAAGGGGTCCTCAAACCCCTTGTTCATTCCCTCATCCTGCTTATCATACAGTTCGGAGCCCTTTTCCTCCTGCTCCAAAACTGTCTATGACTTCCCACCATACGCACAACCAAGACCAGGCTCCTTAGCCAGATCCATGAAGACCTGGGTCCAACTACTTCACCCTCACTATCTTCTCACTTCACTCCATAAACCCTATGCATATGAACAAGAAGGTAGCTCACTGCACCCCACACATACCCTGTAAATCCTGCTCTTAGGAACTTTGCTCGTGCTATTCACTCTATGTGGATGCTCTCCATCTTTCATGCCCTGAAAAACACCTTCTTCCTTATTCTTCTTCTCCCTTCTATCCCTCTGGCCTCTGATTTCACAAGATACCATCCATCCCAGAGGCAAGAAGCACCAGAGAAAGAATGAGGCTGGGCACTGCCTAGGCTCCACCCCTCCCTGACAGTTCTCATTTGCCCTCCACCCTGAAGCACCGACATACTTGAGGCAGCAGGCAGGTCAGCAGCAGGGCCATTAAGCTGAGAAAACACCAAGTTACAGCTCTGTCTCCTGCTCACGGCCAGGTGTCCTGACAAGCAATTCCCACCTTGTGGGTGAGTGGCACCTCTATAAACCCTCTGACAGTTTGGGAGACAAACTCCGCCATCAATCAGAATGTAGCTATCAGGTTCACTTACAGCCTGCGCCCCCCGAGCCCTGCCAGCCTCCCTCCCCCAAGTACATGCAGCTCAGCAGCCAGCCTCAAATCCTCTGCTCAGCCAGGCCTTGCCCAGCCATGCCTTGTAGGAAAGGCATGCACACCAGAGAGAAACCTGGGATATGTAGGTAGGCAAAAGGAAAGCAGAGCACCCTGGCATCACTCTCAAACCAATATGGCTCCCATGGCAAAGCAGAGAAAACAGGGAACCCCAAAGCTGCCAGGAAAGTCCCAACTTCTCAACATATAAAGCCGTTGTAGCTGAAGTCCTTTCCTCTTGAGTTTCATTGCCTGCCATGCCTGGCTCAGGACTCGTACCCCAGTGAACCCAGCTACTGGGGCTTCCCAAGCCCTATATGCTTTCTCAACCCCATGCCTCTATACTTCCTGCTTTCTCTGCCTAGAACCTTTTCCCTCCTGGTCTATGATACAAATACCTGCTTATTTGGCAAGTCTGACTCAGCTTCATCATGCCTATTCCCATTAACTTACAGTGTCTACACAAAGCAGCTGCTCTACAAATCCTTGCTGAAGGAAGGAATTCTCACCATTCTCAACACCATTCTTTCAACGTTATTGAGTTTACCCTCTTTCTGGCTTGGTGTTGAGAACACAGAGTTTCAAGATCTGATCCCTATCCTCAAGGTGTTCTGAGTGGTAGACGAGACGTCCCTAGGTACTCCCACAGGTGTCCCTTCCTTAACATCCAACTAGACTCCTGTGCAACTCCAAGACCGTTGTTATTACCACACAGTCAACTGTCCCTCCAAGTCTGACTCACTGTTGTGATCTCAGCGTCATCCAGCAGAGCTGGCAAGGCCCATGGCAGGTGCCACACAGCATACCTTAGCAGTACTGGTTAAACACTAACAATTTGGTTCTATTAGGTCCTGGTTAGCTGGTGGCCTTAGGACACAACCCTCTCTATCAGACCTCAGCTACCAGGCTGCAGCCTTCGTTTCCTCTGACCAGTCAGGCAGGATGTACAGCACGACACATACCTTGTTTGCCATGGAAAAGGCCTCTGTCTCTGGTCTGAGGCATTTACTCTGACCCTGACCCTGACCCTGACCCCATACCCCACCTGAGATAGATGCTGGGAACCTCTACCTACCCCTACAGGTGTTGAGAATAGGCTGCTGCTGCCAATCTCACTCCTGTACTGCCCCAGCCTGCTTCAACCTCTTTCCCAGCACATTAAACTTTATTTTCTTAATGAAATGTCACTTGCTGACTTCTGGCAGAATCATAATAAAAAGAAACGGCCATAAAGCCGTTTTACGCAGACAGCGCCCCCGCCAGCTTGCCCTCCCCTCCCGCTTGGAGAAGGAGGCTCCACTGTCGTTTTATGTTCTCAGCTGCTGGAATATCCCAAGCCAGTACTCAGAGGCAAGATGGCACAGAGAGCGCCTTTCCAAGTCTCCGACTTCTCTTCCATGTAGCTCCAGGGAGAACAGGCAAGCTGCCACTCCTGCTGCTGCTATCTAGGGAAGGAACTCAGCCCCTAGGACCCCCATGATGGCCAAGAGTACCCTTTAGTCACCAGGGTGGTCCCCTAGCTATGGTTCTGCCTTATCTTAAAGTGGCATAAAGGGCTGGGCCCCCACCCAAAGGCAAACTAAGTCTGAAGGTCAGTGATGCCCAGCAGGGTAGGTACCAGAGTTGCCTAGTCCTGGGGGTGTGGACAGTGCAAAAAAAATCCCGCTCCTCCCAATGAGTACTTAACAACAGAGAGGGAGAGGGTTAAATGCAGAAATGATACGCAAATCTAAATTTTATAAAAACTTCCCTTTTCACATAAACTCATTTCTTCCTGGGTCACTGAGAAGGGGAGGCAAAAAAAAAAATCAGTGTTAATTTAATCAATTGATCAGATGATCGATTGAGAAACTGGAGATGCCCGTTTACTGGGGGCAGTAACGTCCTGGAACTTGAAACCACAAAAAAGGAGTCATTGATTTCCTCACCTGCTGCTCCCAACAAAACCAGAGTCTAGGGAGGAAGGAAAGTCTTGGGGCCCTCCAGAGGCCTGTGCTCTCCAATGCGAGAGCAGGGGTAGCAGCTTCCGGAGAGTTTTACACTGGAATTAGTTACAGATGCAGTTACGGTGTCTTGTGTAAACGCCATCGATTGGGGAGCTGACAGTCTGGGGAGCTGCGATGCGGGACAATCAATCGGCCTGCAGTGTCACCTGCCACCTCGCTGAACAGTTGACAATGCAATTATCCAGTGTGGAGGCAGGGAGTTGGCGTGTGTCAAACGCACTTAGCCACTTTCCGGGCCTCCTCGATAACGCGTTTCACTGCCTCACGTCAGTAGAGACGCACAGAGACAGACGCCGTTTAAAACCATTGATACTTGCTCCTTCTGCCTGCACTCTCTCTGTCCCAGCTTAACAATTGTGTTCCAAAAGGCGATGAAATCCCGTCAGTTGCCACAGGGGACAGAAGGTGCCTTGCTCCTTGCCACCTCTCCTCACCCCTCCCAGCAGGCGACAGTGATGACTGAAGGTGGTGGGAGTTGGAAGGCAGCAGTCCTAACCCTCTCCACTCCAAGACTGCCTCTGGCAGTGTGCTGTTTCAACACCTGTCACTGGCTGGACCAGGAGCAGAGCTACACTGGGGGATGTGTTTAGCATCTGGAACTCCATATTTTGAGAACCAACATGCCAAAGGAGGCAGCAACTAGGGCAAGGCCTATATGCCCATGCCCTTAGACTCAACACACCTCTTGGCCCCTTGTCCCATAACCTGGTGCTGAAATTTTATCAAGAAACTGCTGGTTAATAGATTTATGCCAAAGGTGCACTGACTGTTTGCTCCATGATTTCTCATCCCAGTCTACTTGGACCCACCAGCCTAAATCTAAGACAGGAACTCAAGAAAGATGTAGTCCTTAGGCCAGGATCTGGGCATCCTTCTTCTCCCTAACCTAATCCACCTGTTGGACTCCAAGGGGCTTCATGCTAGAGTCCAGCAATGCATTTACCTCTAGGGCTCAAAGATACTGCAGCAGACACCTTCCATTTCCTGTCCAGTCTCCTGGGAAATTCCTTCATCTCACCACTCTTGTTGTACCCACATCATTGCATCGTACATGAAACCAATCATTCCCATGTCCTCTCTCCAGCCTGCCCTTCCAGATATGATGAGCTCTGGGTTCCCCAGATCCAGCTGGGTTAACTCTCACTAGCAACCAGCACAGGAGAGAGATCAAGATTAACCACCATAGATCTCTTCTAGGTTCCAGGAACTGGATGTAGGAAATAAGAGGAAAGGCATGGCGCATTTATCACGTATCTCCTTTGCCTACAGGTAGAGGAAAGTCTGTCTCAAAGGCTGTATAATTAGATTTTCCCTGTGGCCTGCTTCTCTAGTCTAGAAGCCCCTTGTTCTGCCCAGAACTGGCACAGTACCTCAGAAGAGCATCTTTTTCTTTTAACTGCTGATGTCTTTTAGGGAACAATGGTGAAATATTAGGCTCTGTGTGCTGCCTCTTATGCAAACAGCAGTAGCAAGTTAGAAAATCTATGGTTCCAGGCCAGGCTCGGTGGCTCAGCCTGTAATCCCAGTGTTTTGGGAGGCTGAGGTGAGTGGATTGCCTGAGCCCGTGGATTGGAGACCTGCCTGGACAACTTGGCGAGACCTCAGTTCTATAATAAATCAAAAATTAGCTGGGTGTGGTAGCGCACGCCTGTAGTTCCAGCTACTTGGAAGGCTGAGGTGGAAGGATCGCCAGAGCTCAGCAGGTCGAGGCTGCAGTGGCTGGGAGTGGTCACTGCACTCCGGTCTGGGTGACAGAGTGAGACTCCAACTCAAAAAAAAAAAAAAGAAAATCTACGGTTCTGAAAGGACAATCAACAGCTTAAGTATTTCTCCTAGAACTGGGAAGCTCAGAGTGCCTCTAGATAGCAAACATTTCTCCCAACTTACTCTTGAAATCTTTACCTATTTCCTTTAGTCTTCTCAAAACTCTTTTTCCACTTGGACTTATCTCAGTGCTTACCTGTTCTGTCTAGTTCTTTATTTTATCCTGAAATACCAATTCCAGGCAGTCCTAGGCCTAAGATACCCAAGCCTTCCCCTCAGTAACCACAGGTCCCAATCTTTAAGGCCTGTTCCCCTCAGTCACGTCTTCACCAAAACTCTTGCTTGTTCACTGCCTCCCACAGCAGATCACATTCAAAGTAATCGATCTGATCCATCAGACCAGTTCCCAGTGGGCCTGATGGGAAGCTTTGCTGAGGATGATGAAGGGGTTCTAGTATGGGAGGAGGGATGAGGGTGATCGGATACAGAAACTTATCTGCAATTCTTTACTTCTTTCATATCTAACAAGGACAGCAATCTCTGTTCTGTCAGCACGCACAGTGCAGTTTAAATGGGCCTAACCACTCGCCTGCTCATCCTGCCTCTGCCTCCCTCTCTCTGAAGTCGGCTGGGCAGCTTCTTCAGCTGGCGTTATCACTCCCTCTAACCGGTCTTGGCAGGCAATCTAATTCCTCCTGAAAAGGTCACCGCCATTTTAACTGCCTTTCAATCACATTAAGCACGCGCTGCCCGGCTTGCGGCCCAGCCCGCCCGGCGGGCGATCAATGCGCTGCACTGACACCAGTCCGCCTGGCGGGGCCACACCCAACCCCCCACGAGTTGAGGCCTATCGGTCCTGGCCAGGGAGGGTAGGCTGACAGATGGTCAGCTTTTGCAGACAGGGTTTTAGGGGCACAGGCAGTCAGGACCAGCCAGGGCCTCCCTTTGATAGCCCCCCCCCACCGAGGAGCCTCAGCCTCCTCTGCTCCACTGTGCCACGCTCTCTACCTTGTGGCCCCCGCTGATCTCACTGTAAAACAGCCTTTCAAGTCTGCCTGTCTTTTGACTGCACTAAGCTGTTTAAGAGGCAGCAGCAGCTTCTATCAGGAAGCTGGAGCAATTCTCTGCAGATAAAGGCACCTCCGGTCCCATTCCCTCTTCAAGTCTCACTCTCATTCTCGCTCTCCAAATCGCTCAAAGAAAAGCCCCCTTTGAACTCCCCTCAGGAATTCTTGAAAGGAACAACCTCACAGTGTAAACACTCAGGGAAAACTGATACCCGCCCAGGGCCTAAGCGCCCCTCACGCTGCTCTGCAAGTGCATCCCAGCGCAGAGGAAATACTCTGTCAAATCGGCAGACCCTACACAGCTTTATTCCCCAGAAGCCCTACCTGCTGCCCAGAAGCCATCAAGTCCAGTTGTGTGCCAAGAAACCTAAGAAGTTGCCACAGCAATGGAGGATGTGAACAGCAGCAGCTGCCAACAGAGCTAACCCCAAGAAGCACCTTGGAACTGACTCTGCATGAGCTGCCACCAGACACCCATGTGTATGATTCATGGGACAGGGGAGGATCATGAGCTCTGCTGCTCACTCTTCCAGGACTTCAGAAACCCTAACGCTCCAGTACAGGATCAGAGTGAAAGGGCAAATTAACACTCTCCAGCCCAGGCTCAGGGAAATGGTTTGATCCAAGTAACCTTCCTGATTTATGTTTTGGCTTGTCCCCAAATGCTTGGCAACGTGAGAGAAGCCTGGCAACATAATGTCCCATCTGGGCTCTCAGTCACTTCATGGAGTCAGGCTGCCTTGGATGGTACCATGGAGACTTCTCAATACCAGCCCAGGTAGCACAGAACCACAGAGGCAGAGAGCCTCTTCCCAGCTGCTGTAAGATTCCCCAGGGACTATACACAGTGGTACTCCCAAGGGTGTTGCCCAGAGAACGAGAGGCAGACGGGAAGCAGATTGGCTCACTTAATGACCACAAGCTGCAGTGCCAGCTGTGCTCCTGTACAGAAAGAGAGAAGAGCTAGAACCAGGAAGCAGACAGCTCCTCCTTTCCCCTGCCCAAGACTGGGGTGCATGATAAGAGGACACAGACCCTGGGCATCTAACCAATTCTGTTGTCTGATCTGGTGGGAGATGCCAAGTCATGCCCTTCCAAGGAGCCAGGTGGGCACTGGAGAGGGGTAGGGCCCTACACACGCCTCTGCAGCAACTGGGGAGAGCCCAAGGGAAGCAGGGAGCAGCTGGGCCAAGCCCCTCTTGCTTCAGGGCAGAGGGCGCCCAGGGAGAAAGGATGGGATCAGAGCTAAAATTAGATTCACCAATGAAGCTCAGGGGAGGTCAAATTTTACCATAACTCACTCTCTCCTCTGTAACTGATTTTCCTGACATAGGGCTGAGGAGGAGGAGGAGGAGGAGGAAAATCCAATGTGTTTGCCTGGAAGCCCTCAGGGCCCCCAATGCTGGAGGTGTACAGCAGGTTGCTGGATTCTCATTTATCAGCCTTAAGAGGGATGGAGTGATAAATGCATAACCGTCCCTTTAATATTTTATGCAGGTACTAACGCGGCTTGGCTGTCACCTTCAATGCATCACCCGAGGCTGAGAGCCCCCCTCGTCACTCCTAGCTTGCAGCCTCACAATTCCATTTCCCCACCCAAATACATCCATTTTAATATGCACATCACAGGCAGGCAGCATGGTCACAAAGGAGCCCCACCAGCAGCAGTTCCACGTGGTGGAATGGATGACCAGTCACCAGCTTTGGCCTCTTGGCTCCCAACAGATGGATACCCAGCAGAGGCCTAGCACTGGAATGCCACTGCCTAGGTGTCAGCTGCTTGTACCTCGGAAGCCACCTTCCAGGAGAGTGGTGGCCCGTATCCGCTTCTGCCCACACCACTCATACTCCTCAAAGCGGTTGCTGTTTTCATGCTCGATGTCCACGGCATCATCCTCAGCCATGCAGGAGCCTTCCCTCTGTGAAGAGCAGAGCAGGATCATGCTGGGCCCAGGCCATCCCTACTTGTTCCCCATACTCTGCAAGGCAGGCACACCCCTAGCCCCAGCTGTGGTGTGCCAGATGGGTCCCCAGCTCTAGGGCTCCTTTGAAGCAAACCAATCTAGAGGTCAAAGACCCGGGCCTTTTCCCAGTAGTTTTCCACGGGAGCCCAAGGAGGGAGTGGGAGTGAAAGCAAAGGAAGAGAGCAGAGAACAGAGGACAAGAAGCTGCAGAGACCGCACAGAGACCCCAAGAGCCCACGATTTAGGTGTAGTCAGCAGCTAGCATGGGGGAAGACGGGGGGTGGGGTGGGAAGGAAGGTGGGTGGCGATGGCCCCTCTACCTTAGAAAGGCAATGCTCCACATGCCTACTCATCTCCTGCTCCGATCCTGCCAGGGGGCGGTTGCACAGGGGACATACCTGCCCTTCATCTTGCTTCCTCCGTTTCATTTTCCCAATCCGAGCTGCATGGAGAAACCGAAAACAAAGCACAGAACAGGCAGATGGTCAATGGAACTCCCAGGATCCCAGCAGACTGACACATTCTGACCTCTGGCCAGCCATTAGCCCTTTTGTGCAGTTCATGATTTGGCCTTCATCTCAGAGTACCTCCTGTTCCTCTGGGGACTGGGCTTTGCCAAGAGCACCTGGAGAGGAGACTGGTTCTAAACCAGGGAAGTGTCTACTTTTTGAGCACAATTGGTATAAGTCAACCCACACCTTCTATCTGCAGTGCTCAATAAGAGTCCAGGCCATGGTCGGGCTCAGTGGTTCAGCCTGTAATCCCAGCACCTGGGGAGGTAGAGATGAGTGGATTGCCTGAACCTGCAGGTTTGAGACCAGCCTGGGCAACTTGCAACTTGGCCAGACCTCATCTCTACAAAAAAAAAAAAAAAAAAGTTAGCCAGGTGGTAACACGTGCCTATAGTTCTGGCTACTTGGGAGGCTGAGGCTGAAGGATCACCGGAGCCCAGCAGGTCGAAGTTGGGGTGGTTGTGAGCACGCCACTGCACTCCGGCTCGGGTGATGGAGTGAGACTCCAACTCAAAAATTAAAAATTAAAAAAAAAAAAGAGTCCAGGCCAAGTCTGGTAGCTCACACCTGTAATCCCAGCACTTTGGGAGGCTGAAGAGAGAGGACTGCTTGAGCCCAGGAGTTTGAGACCATCCTGAGTAACATAGTGAGACCCTGCCTCTACAAAGAAAAAAAAAAAAACTAACCAGGAATGGTGGCGTGCATCTGTAGTCCCAGCTATAGCTACTCAGGAGGCTAAGTGGAAGGACTGCCTGAGCCCAGGAGGTTGAGGCTGTGGTGAGCCATGATTGGGCCACTGCACTCCATCCTGGTGACAGAGTGAGACTCTGACTCAAAAACAAACAAACCCCAATGGGCAAAGACACTCTACGATGCTAGGTATTTCTCCAAAAGGCTATAAGACAAGAGCTCTTTTGGTGTCACTGATCAGCGAAAACCCCTTTTGTTCCTCGGCTAAGAGCCCTGGGATACAGCTCCTAGTATCTTACCTAGAATCTCCCCAGGAAGAATTTCTCTGAAGTCCACTGGTCCCATTTTACAGGAGAAGAGACTGAGGCCCAGTCATAAGAGTATGGGTCAGACCTTGGACAGCCAGGTCAGAGGGCTCAGGGTACCTTGAGAGGACAGCCCTTATTGTGTCTACCCAAACCTTTTCCATCATTTCTAATCAGTGCAGAGGGGTTGGTAGGCCCTGGAGGCAGAGGGCTGCCTGCCATGTTGTCCCGCAGGGGGCTCAGTTCCAAAGTGCACGCTGTAAGCCCACAGCATTGCTAATTAATGCTGAGAGATGCAATCATTTCTAATTAGTTCACTAATCCCTCTATGCAGCCCTCCTGTCACCAAAGCAGGAAAGGGTCAAAACAAGGGACTCTGTTTCCTTAGTCCCTCCCCATGCAACAGCAGGATCTGTTGGCTACTCTGGGCCAGATTGATTTGAGGGGTGGGGAATGGAGGAGAGGGAGGAGCCACCCAAGGAGGGAAAGGTTCCCCACTGCAAGGACAGGAAGAACGTTCTTTTTTTTTGGGTTGGAGCCTCACTCTGTCACCCAGACTGGAGTACAGTGGCCGCTCCCGGCCACTGCAGCCTCAACCTGCTGGGCTCCAGGGATCCTTCCGCCTTAGCCTTCCAAGTAGCTGGAATTACAGGTGCGCGCTACCACGCCCGGCTAATTTTATGATTTATTGTAGAGATGAAGTCTCACCAAGTTGCCCAGGCGGGTCTCGAACCCGCAGGCTCGGGCAATCCACTCACCTCAGCCTCCCAAAGCACGGGATTACAGGCTGAGCACTAAGCCTGGTTAGGAAGAACTTTCTCATGGAAACTGACCCTGATAAGGAAGCTCATGAATGCAGGCTAGGGAGAGGAACACAGGTGAGAGTTGATGTTACAATTTAGAGTTTCTATTGTGTCAGGCTCAGAGCCAAGTACCTTACACAAGATAGCTCATTTATTTTAGGTTGTATTATCCAATTTTAACAGATGAAGAAACCTGAAGCTTAGAGAGATCAAGGCACTTGTCCAAGTAGCTAAAAAATAGCAAAGGCAAGATAGGAAACCAGGATTGACTTCACAGCCTAGAAAGCTCTTCTGTTCCAAGGGGCCCCCTGACTGAGCAGTGTCAACAAAGATTGATCCCAGTGAGTATGTTAGGGCCCCAATTGCTGTCTGTTGTGGGTCTGAGGCAGGGAGCTACTCCAACTCCAAAACAGAGTGGTCCTAGAAAGACCCAAACCAAAAGGGGAGCCACCGCCCACCAGAACTTAGTATGGGGTTTGAGAAATCTTGGTCTGCAGCCCAGCCCATTTCTTCAATTTCCTGTGTTTTCATTACAGGAGACATGACTATGCTCTGGTGCCCCTCCTGGTTTTGAGGACAAAGATCCTGATACCTTTAATTTGGCTGCCCTAACCCTTGGAATCTCAGGTTCAAGCAGACTTGACAGAGCCAATGCTGGGATGGAAAAGGGATGAGATATTAGAAAGGCATCAAGCAAAGGACCCTAAGAGTTCTAGAAACCTACTATGGAGCAGTATACCAACAGTTTCCTCACCTACCCTGCCTAAAGCTTGAGGAAGTGCTTCCCTGGGTAAGGGGCTGATAACAGACACTGTTCAGTGACTGAATAAGGAAATGAATCTCATAGAAAGGCCAAGGAGTGCATGATACTGGCTGCTCTCCTTGCCCAGGGCAGTAGATGATCCCTTGTAGTCCCAGGAAAGCACCTGATGGACTGGACTTCATCTGGACATTCTCAGATATGTCAGGTGTGGCTTTTCCCTTTGCCTTCATCTTCTAAGTTCTGAACTAAGCTTATTACAGTGTGATAGGGAAAGTTTTGTTCTCTACCCAGAGGACACCTATGAGTAAGAAGAGTCAAAGTATTTGCCAAGCAGGTAACATGGCAATGTTGGAAAAGCACTGGCTTTGGTGGGAAACAAACTTTAGTTCAATCATGGCTCAGATACATCCCAGCAGTGTGACTTTAAACAACTGTCACCTCTCAGAGCCTAGGTTTTCATTTTTTTACAAAAGGTGTGTAACACTGTCCTCTTCGAGGTTTTGTTAGAATGGTGCTTATCATGTTGCCAGTCCATCATGAATATTCTTCCTTTTTCAGACTGGAGCTAGGCCTGGCAGTAGAAACCAAGTGGTAAGAACTGGGGATCTTGAACTCCATGGCATCACTCACTTATCAGGTGGCCAAAAGACCCTAAACCTCTTACAGCCAACTCTCAGATACCACACCCCAGCCGGTACAAAAAAACTAGGATCGCTCCATTGTGTCAAGCAAACAGGAATGCTCCAGAGGTTTGAATCCAAAGGGGGGGGGGCGGGGTGCCAAGTAGTGCATACGCGGCCTGCTTTTAGAAAAGGCCTCTAAGAGCTGTTGAGCCCATGCTGATCACCTTTGTGAAATATGGGCCGACTGATAACTCAAAGAGCCCTGGGATGAGTTAGTTCCTGTTGCCGTGGGAACTCCAGATCTCACTGCATTGTCAAGCCTCAGCAGAGAGGCTGTATTCACACTACTGGGCACTGATTAAAAACTGGAAGAAAAACATTCTCAGCGCCCTGCCGACTTGTATAGTGAGGTCCCAGCAGTTTGCAAATTCAAAGCTGAGCTCCCGAGTGGAATTGTGTAGCTTGTTCCTCATTCTCCGGCACTTATTGCCCCCCAGGGTTCTTCGAGGCCTTTGGAGAGGCTTGGACAAAAGCTAGGAACCATATCTCCATTAGACAGACGGGGAAACTGAGAGTGGCAGCTTTGGCTTGCACGTACTCAAGCGCTGTGACTGCGAAGACGCCAATGGGCCCCAATGTCGAAGAGACCCAGGCAAGCCAGGAGCTGCAGGCAGTGAGAGAGGGAGGAGGCCGGGGGTGGGGCGGAGGGAGGGGCCGGGCAGGACTCACCATTCAGTCGGGTCTGCCGGTTGGCTCGCACTCGCAGAAAGGTCTAGGAGGAGATCGCGGGCAGATGCAAAAAAAGAGAACAGAGCGGCAGACGCGGCCTGGAGTCTTGGCACCCGTCCCTGCACCGGACCCTCGACCAGGCCTGCCCCGCCC